GAGTTACCATAGTTTATTCAATAAGAGACTGGGTATCATAGTTATTCAGCCAAGAATTTATTGGATTGTTTCATGTTTTTGTTGTTGTTGTTAGTGAATAATGACTCTCTAACTCAATGAATAATTTTGTGTATGTTATTTCCTATTTGTGCAGTTATGTCCTTAGAATATATTTCTGAAAGTAGAATTCCTGGGCCAAAGGGTAAACACAGCTGTGATCTTGATAGATAGTGACAAATTCTCCTGCAAAGGAGTATGATTTTTTCATTCCTAACAACGATATATGACAGCCTACAGCATTACCGATAGAATATATTGTTAAAATTTTGATTTTTGCCAGTTTGGTAGGGAAGAAATGGTATCACGTCACGATAGTCTTAATATTTTGCTCTCTCTTTATGACTGGAGTGAACTTTTCATATGTTTAAGGAACATTTGTATTTTTCTATGAACTGTCAGTTCATGTATTTTGGTCTTTTTCTTATTGATTTCTAGAAACTCTTTATGTTAAGGAGATGAATCATTTGGTTATGAAATAAGTTCCAGTATTATTTCCTAGTTTGTCATTTGTCTTTTGACCTTTATGCTTTTTTTTTTAAATGCAAAAACCTTTTTTAACACAAAAAAACTTGAGTCAAATTCCTCACCAAGTTGTATTTATTGATTCCAGATTTTAAGTCATAGTGAAAAAAGGTCTTTTCAACTTTCAGATTTTAAAGGAATTCACCCATATTTTCTTTTAGTATTTCTATAGTTTTATTTAAAAGTGTATTTGAATAGCTGATTCATTGGAGTAAAGTTTTTTTATATGGCATTTATACATTTCTTGTTAAATTTATTTCTAAGTATTTGATCTTTTTTTTCCTATTATTATAAATGGGGGTTCTCTTCTGGAATATTTATTAACTGGTTAATGACTGTATACAGGTAGACTATTTATATTAATTATATATCCTGCCAATTTTACAGAATTCTATTGTCTATGATGTTGTCCCCATTGATTCTCTTGTGTTTTCTATGCATATAAGCAACTATAACTAGAGACAGTTTTAAATCTTTATTTCTAATGCTTAAGCCTCTAACGGCTTCTCTCAATTGAATTGGCTAATATTTCTAATAAGTTGTTAACTAGTTGTGGTTAATAGCGAGTGTTCTTGTCTTACTCCTGACTTCAGTGGGAATGCTGCTAGTGTTTTCCCATCAAAAGAGATGTTGGCTTCAGGGCTTGTGTGTGTTTGTGTGTGTGCGTAAATATGTTAAGAAAGAATTAATTTTTTAGGTTTTTTTTTCTTTCTATCAATTATAGGGATTGAATTTTCTTTTCAGCTTCGGGAAATAACCATATGTTTTTTTCTATGTAGATCTAGTACTTAAAAGATTTCTTAGTATTGAATCATCCTTGTAATCCTGGAATAAACTCTACCTGCTCATTATGTATTTTGCTTAACTTGCTATTGGCATCTATGACAATATTTTATCTAGAATTTTCCCCTCGATATTTGTAAGAGATTAGGATCTGATTTTCTTTTATCGTGTGCAATTGTAATCATTTACAACAATTTGAAATTCACTTCATAAGATGAATTTGGAAGTTTTCCTTTATGTTCTATAGGTCTGTATATTTTAAGTAACATTGAAGTTATTTGCTCTTTAAAGGTTTGTTATAGTCCCCCTATGAAACCATTTTGGTCTGACATTCTTTTTGTTGGTGGAAGGAGATCTCTTGATGATTCAGACTTTCTTTGAATGAAATGTTCACATATATTTGTATCCCAATCCTACTTGTAGCGGATGCTGAGGGCTGCAGGTAGTAGGAAGCAGGAAGTGAGTTTTCAGGGGAAGAGAACACCTTTCCCAAGGCAGATGGGACTGGGGCGGGTGGGGGGGGTGCGGTTGATAGTCTAACGACATCTAGGATCAGGGAGGGCAGGTGCGGGAGCGACGTGGGTGGGCGGAGGACTGAGAAGAGAGCCATAGGAGAGGCTTCAGCTGAGGAGGGAAGATCAGCTGCTTCCTCCCAAAGACTTTTATTCTGGTTGCATTCCAACCTCTCCTGGGAGTCTCAGTCCTATTTTCACAGCTGGGAAGGCAAAGGAAATTTCCCATAATCCACTACCCTCCTTGGCAGCCTTTGTTGGGAAGGTCCTCCGAGTCATCTCACCCGAGGGACCTTGGACAAGCAAGAGCCGTCCCACCCCCACATTCTCCCCATTTGCATTCTCTTGTGAGCAGTTTCAGCCAAAAAAACCACATGGCTCCCAGACTTATTAAAGAGTCTCAGGTCATAGATATTCCTTTCATGTTGAGTCTTTGATTTTCTGAGGAAGCTTTCTCCACAAGGGGCTTTGGAACAGCCCCTTGTTGCCTGGGTGGCTCCTCTGGGGAGTGATTTTGCTATGGCAAAGGGCGGATGGGCTGCAGGAACACAGGGCAGGTTCTTCTGGGCACCTGGGTGGCCATGTCCCCTTCAGTCCCAGGTTTCCTGTCTCCCTGCTCCCTCAGCCATCTATGGACCTGCAGGGGCCAGGGGCCTCTTAGTCCCCCTCGGCCACAGCTCAGCCTCTCGCAGGGGACACTGGTCTGTGAGACAGAGAGTGGGCACTTGGCTGCGAAGGTCACTGCCTCTGCAGCAGCTGGATCTCTTGATAAGAGGTGGGAAGAGGATGGGGAGACAGTTGGGACATCCTTGCTGCTCCTGCACCACTTCTGAGTCAGAGGGAAGACTTTGGAGAAACTAAAGTTCAAAGACACTGACTGCTGAGAGACTGGTCTATGCCCTGAGAAAACCCTGTGTTGTGTTTCCAGTGTATGGGTCACAGGCCTCCCGGGAAGTGTGAGCACTCTCAGCCCCCTTGGCCCAGGGCTGTGACCCTTGCTAGGCCACAGGCTTCCACCTGGAGCCCCGGCTGTGGGCTCAAGTGGGGCTTGCCAGGCCAAGGGAAGGCTGGGCTGTGAAAGGACTTGCGAGCCGGGAGCTCATCTCATATTCTAAGCCAGCACTTCTTCCCCACTTACGTGCAAATAGAGTCCCTTCCCCAGCGCCCACACCCAGCCCCGTGCATCAAGGCTAACCATATCTATCCACCCCACAAACCTCAAAAGTTAGGGAGAAAAATATGGTGGCTCCTTTTAGAGCTATACATAGAGATGTGTCTGCACCCTACTGACCACAGATGTTCACACTGTGCTGCAGGGGCGGCCCACTGGCCCCAGAGGCTCGGGGTGGTCGGGACCTATTGGTCCAGACCTGCTCCTCGCAGCTCACCGCTCAGCTCTGGTTGCAGCCACTTTTGAGCTCACGATGTTTCCAGCTAGAGTCCCGGAAGGAGGCTCTCAAGGGGACTTTTGGAAGCTCCCCTGGCGAGACTCTTCCAACATTCACCTTCTTCCAAGGCCCCCTCAGGGTCTGGCTGGTACAGTGGTTACTGTTCTGCGGTAAAATTTTATCCTTGTATTCGTATATCAGATGCATAAGCCAGAATGAAGAGGCTGGTAGAACTCTGGCTTTGGAGTCCGGAGCCCAGGGCTTTACTCCCGGGAAAATGCCTGCCATAGATGGGAGTCGTCCTGTCTGCTGTTCCTTTCACCTCCTTAGTTAATAGGATTATCATTTCTGTCTCTGATGTGTTGCCTTCCTCTGTTCCAGGCATTGTGCTAAACACCTTACCAGACGATAGTTCACTGATCCTCACAACCACCCTATGGGGGGAGGGCAGTAAGGAGAGGACACTATTGTGCTTATTTGCAGATGAGGAAACTGAGGCTTAAGGAGGTTAAGTAATTTCCCATGGTCACCAGACCAGAATGAATTTGGACCCAGATATTTTTCATCCCATAGAGTATTAATCACTAACTTCATATGTCTCTGGAGAGCACCATGGATCAAAATGGACTTGACCACGTTCCTCTTTGGACTGACTGCTTAGAAACAAATAGAGCAATTCTTTAATCCAGTCTAAGTTTCTTTGGCTTTCTCTTTATACAGTCGTCCTTCAGTGTCTGTGGAAGACTGGTTCCAGGAGCCCTGCAGGTGCTCAAGTCCCTTATATAAAATGATGCAGTATTTGCATATAACCTACGCAAATCATCCTGTATACTTTAAATCATTTATAGGTTACTTATAATACATAATAGCATGTAAGTGCTATGTAAATAGTTGTAAGTACAACATAAATGCTATGTAAATAGTTGAAGGTACATGACAAATTCAAGTTTTGCTGTTTGTAACTTCCTGGATTTTTAACTTTATTTTTTATTTTAGATCTGCATTTGGGTGAATCTGCAGATGCAAAACCCTCGGATACAGAAGGCCAGCTGTGTAAGACAGGTCCTGCCTCTGTGGTTTCTACCCGCCTCCCCTATAGAAACAGAGGCTGTAAGTTTTTTATAGTCCAGACCCCAGATACCATCTCTCTCTCTGCTCTATTCCCGGGAACTGCTCTAGGCTCTCCCACCCCTGGCTCCTCTGCCTTGGCAATCAGTTTTGGAAATACTCTGCCAGTTCAATCTCTAGACCCACATCAGGGGGACATGCATTAGGTCTTGTAGCTCCTTCAGCTGCAGGCTCTGTGGCTGTGGCGAAGGGGTGGAGGTGATGTATCTTGATGTGAGCCTCGAAAGACAGGTTGGATTGGGGTAGGCAGGAAGACGCTGATGAGGCATATGTTTTCTAAGGGACTGGAGGTGGGGTGTGGAGGGTGCATGGGTCATGGTGCAGAGCTGGGGATGAGCAGTACCCAGGCAGAGGGGGACACTAGTTTGAGATGGAGCATCCTACAGAAGAGAAAGAGGACAGGAACCTGGATGGTAAGGAATGCTCAGGTGCTCAGCTAGAATGAGACGCAGAGCACCAGACTTTGGATGTTCCTCCTGGCAGAGCAGCAGACTTTTAAGACATATGCCATGGTGCATGCCCAAGGTGGCAGTGGCGAGCCCTGAAGGCAGATGACTGTGCACACTCCACTTCCTCTCCTCAGTGTGGCTTCACTGGAGAGCAAGCTTTGACTGTGGCCTGTCTGAGGGGCTGTGATTATCTACCCTCCTATCTCAGAGCCTAGTGTTGAGTCTGGCGCTTCTCAGGCACTCAGGGACTTTCAAATGAATGAAGGAACAGTTAGAAGAAGGGAGGGAGGGAAGCAGGAAGGGAAGATGGGTGATCAGTAGGACTTGGTGATGCACTGGCAGATCCACGCAAATGTCAGCGAATCCCAATCCAGGGTCAGGAACGGAGGCTCGCCCTTTTCTACCTCCACAGATGTCACGGGGTCATCACACACAAGGAAACTCATTCTTCTGATTCTACTGGGTCGTGGAGACTAAGCCTGCATTCGACAACCTCTCAGTCCAAATAACCAAGACAGAAGAGGTAAGAGTAAGGAGAAGGGATCTTATTTCCTTCGGGGGAAAGTTGCTTTGTTTGAGATAGACTTTTGTCCCACCTGTGTCCTGTTCCTGAAGTCAAGGCCTCTTGTTCCATAGTTCATTTGACTTCAAGTGCAGATCCTGGCTTTTAAGAGCACAAACTTAGGTTTCTCTTATCACTACACACTCTTTAGCAGGATGGAGTTGGGGAGCCCAGTGCACCCCATCAGGAACAGGCTCTCCAGAGCCAAGGGCCCTACATAGAGGCCCTTGAGCTCGTTAGATGAATAAAGGCTGACGAAACAAAAAGTACATTGAGATAGAACTTAAAAACAGTAGATTGACTAATAGTAATCCAAAGACCAGTGTACCTCTAACCACATTTTTGTTTATTTTTCAGTGTGTTTCCTTCATGGTCTTTCTTGTGGCTGGCCCTGTGCAGTTTGTGTACTTGTTGAGAGCTTTGACTGTCTTTGACGCTGTTTTTGCTGAACTGGGTTTTTCCGAGACCCTCTCTCCTCATAGGCTCAGTTTCACCCTGCCATCTGCAGTCGGCCAGTTTCGGTGGCAGAAGAGGCCACAACTGCTTCCTGTTGGCCTCCTGGGCAGAAGCATGCAGTGGTGTCTCCTCCTGATCTGGGCCCAGGGGCTGAGGCAGGCTCCCCTCCCCGCCTCAGGTAAGGCCTGAAGTCTAGCCTGGAACTGAAGGAAAAGGGAGAGTGGCTGGAGCAATTATACCTCATCTGTCTGGGGCAGGAAATCCCATTTTCAGAGTCGGGTGTCCCCTAGTGTGAGAAACGGCAGTCTCTGAGAAGGAGGTGCCATTCTGCCTTGGGTGGCGGATGAAGGACTTGGGGTTGGGAGGTGCCTGATTGGCTCAAGAAAAGAAGCAGGAGGGGGACTGATGAGTTTGCTGGCAGAAGTTCACTCCTGCTTGTCTCCTTTCTTCTGTCCTTGAGGAAACTTCTAGAAAAACATTGTATGTTCTCTGTGGATCAAAAATGTCTTCGTCACAGTTTCCAGAGATCCTACTGGTATAGACTGAGTTTAAGTTACTCTATTTCCTTCTATTTAAAAAATCATAAACGGATGTTTCTTGGGGCGTTTCTTTCTGTTTAAAAACTGTGATATAGTTTGGTTTTCATTTTGCTTTCTGAACCATCTGGGGGGATAGGGGTCAGTGCCCAGGAGGGTGGCTTTGCCTGGGAGAAACAGGGCTGCTCTCCAAGCCTCCTTTCCTTTGGATTTCCTGGCTTTCAGAAGGTTTTTCCAGGTGCCCCAAATGGCAGTTACCCAAAACAACCAGGTTCTACTTCGAAGGATAATGTGCCCAGCACAGAACTGGCTGTTGGAAGATACAATAAAACAGAGGCAGAGGCTGACAAGGGCTTATATTCTAGGTAGAGAGACAAAGTAAGTGTGTGGAAATAATCAATATGCCCATCATGGAGATATATTCCAGAAGAGTATCCTGAGAGGGTGAAGTGCTACGCTGTGTAGCAATTATGGTCTGTGCGGGGTGGGGGTGGGGTGACAGGACAGACTGGAGAAACTGTCATTCCAAAAACCAATTGTGGCTTCTAAGCCCCTTGGAATTTCTACAGGAAGTTTCAAGACCCGCTGTTAAAAATGCATGACGGAACAGAAACAGGTTCACAGACATAGAAAACAAACGTAGGGTTACTGGGGGAAGTGGGTAGGAAGGAATAAATTGGGAGTTCGAGATTTGCAGATACTAGCTACTATATATAAATAAACAAGTTTCTACTGTACAGCACAGGGAACTATATTCAATGTCTTGTAGTAACCTATAATGGAAAAGAATATGAAAACAAATATATGCATATATATGTATGACTGAAACACTGTGCTGTACACCTGAAATTGACACAACACTGTAAACTGACTAGACTTCAATTAAAAAAAAAGTACGAAAAAAAATGCATGCTTTTCTCCCTTCCCTAGGCTCCGTGACAGGCAGAATAGTAACGGGGAACATTTCTGCAGAGGAAGGTGGCTCTGTCACCTTACAGTGTCACCTCTCCTCCACCACTGCCAAAGTGACTCAAGTTAACTGGGAGCAGCAGGACCAAGCCCTGGCCATTTATCACACTAACCTGGGGTGGCACATCGACCCAGCCTTCACAGAGCGAGTGGTCCCAGGCCCCCACCTGGACCTCACCCTCCGGTCGCTGACCATGAATGACACAGGAGAGTACTCCTGCATCTATCACACCTACCCTGACGGGATTTACAAAGGGACACTCTTTCTGGAAGTCCTACAAAGCTCAGGTATGTCGCCTTGAGCTGGGTGGCTGATGATCCTTGTCCCCTAGGAGAGAAAATGCATTCCTGCTGAACACTGCAGAGTGGGGCCTCCCAACACTGGTTCACGTTCAAATTACCAGGGAGCTTTTAAATGATACTGATGCTGGTGCCCCATCCCAGACCAGTTGGGTCAGAATCTCTAGGGCCAGGGCAGGTTGTGTTGGGTTCTAAAAACAGCCCCGATTTGAATGTGCAGCAGGTATTGTGAACCACTGTTTTGGGTAAGAAGCATGTCTTATGTTTATTTGTTGGGAAGACCAGTTGTTCTGGTCATTGGAGAAGGGTTCTAGTTAATTAGTTTAGCATCAATTATGCAAATTAGAGTTAGCCCCTAAATTTGTAAAGGATTAGAGCCTAGTGTTTGCTAAGCATCAATGCACAATAATTTACAATTGTGTGGTATTTCATAGTTTCCAAAATGCTCTCCCCTTCATTAGCCACCTGGACACTGAACCCAGTCGTCTGGAGGGTGGGGAAAGGATTGTTAAATCGTGACTGAGAGACAGGATAGCAGAGTGGTGGTGAGCTCAGACTCTTATGCCAGACAGCCTGGGTCCAAATCCTGGTGTTGCTGTTGACCTCAGAGAGGATTACTGAGCTTCTCTGCACAGGGTTTTTCTCATCTTTGAAATGAGGAAAAGATGTAAGACCTTATAAGGTGCTAACATAGGACTGAATTACTTACTGAAAGAAAATGCCCTTAGAACAGCCCCTGGAACATGGTAAGCATGATGTTAGCTGTGAATATGACTCCCTGATTCCCATTTGACTGTCTGGTGGAGGTGGAAGCTGAGGCTTGGCAGCGGCTCAGAGCAGCAGAGCTGACAATAACACGGGTGTTCTGGTTCCCCTCAACCCCACCCTCAGAACTGCTATTTGCTGCCATTGCTTGTGTTGGAGATTAAGTTTTATAAGTTAGCAAAATGTGTGTAAACTGAGAAGATAAAACTTACCTTAAAGTTTCTTCTCAAATGCTACCTCTTCTGGAGCCCTGACAGAGGCCAATGCAGCAAGTGGGAAGAGTCCAGATCCTCCTCTGGTTCTGCAGATGGCCCTCTGCCCCGCTCTGACCCCCTCCAGCTTTGCTCTTCGTCAGCCCTCCTTCCCGACCTGTGGCCAGGCAGGAGACTGAGTCCTCAGGGCAGGAGGAACACATTCTGGGGGATTTGGCTCCCCCTTCCCGGTCCCTGTGGGTACCGTGGGCATTGCCCTTTCCTAAGTGATCTCTTGCCTTAACCATCTTCCTAGAAACCTAAGCCCAATGTTAGAGAGAAGAGGGCCTGGCCTCTGCTACACCCTTCTCTCGAGACTGCCCTAGACCCCCGGGTTCTGCCCGAATTCCTGGGAAGGAGGTGGGGATGGGATGAGGCAGCCTGGAAACCTTTCCACCCACAGCGCAGTGCGCATCCTGACAGTTGTCCTGTTTCCCTCATGCTCTCCTTGGGTCAGGTACCACTCGTCTCTTCAAAACTCCCTTCCTGATTCTTTCTCCTTCCATTTACATTTTACATCTTAATGGAAATTCATTTGTTTGTGCTTTAATTCATGTCACGGACATTTATCGAGCACCTGCTGGGTGCCAGGTGCTGGCGAAACAGAGAAGGCAAAGCTGCCCCCTGACTCCCTCCGGGGTCTCCCAGCCTGGCTGGAGTAAGAGTGACAGGCTTAAGGGGAAAGACTTACGCTTTTTTCCTTCTTTGTACTTTAATATTAATTTAATTTTTAATTAAACTTTTTTTACTAGTTTGATTACAAATATGAAGTTCAATAAAAGAAAATGTTCATTTTCTGTTTTTTTCTGGATGCAGTTTGTTTCACTTCATGATGATTATGAAGTGAATATGAAAGTGATTTTGTCAAACAGAAGAGGGGAGTATGAAAAATGGTCTGCTCTGGTGTCAAGTGTACACCCCTCAAGAAATCGTCTTTGATTTCATGATGGGCCAGGTAGATGCTCCACTGTCCAAAGAGCTGGGCTGAAAAACTCCAGACCTGTGGTCAGAGAAAGGCCTGGCCAGTCTCCACGCCCGCGCCTGGACACTGAGGCTGCCCTTTGTTTCTGGCCTAGGCTCACTCACCTTTACCTTGTCTTCCCTCTAGTGGCTGAGCACAGCGCTGGGTTCCTGGTCCCTTTGCTTGGAGCCACGGCCACAGCGCTGGTGGTCATCTGCACAGCAGTCATTGTGGTGGTCACAGTGGCCCGAAAGGTAATGACTCTGGCTGCACATCCAGTCCTGGACACCCCACCCCTGCCCCCTGGTCCTTCCATGTCCCCTTTCTGTCCAGAGAGAGATCCAGGTGTGATCTCCTCCACTGCTCTTTGTGTCTTCTTCACGGTCCTCCTTCTGCCCTTTAGTGGCATTGTCTCTGCTCTCCTTCCGCCCCTCCCTTGTCTGGGAGCCCCTGAAAGATTGGATTTATATCCTCCCCATCTTGCTGTCACCTGCAATTCCTGCCTCCTGCCTGTTGCTTGAGCCATTCCTCTGAGAGTCTGATTTATCTGCTGTCGGTTTGTTGCAACCTTGCATCTGTGCCAGGGTTTTTGAACATTTGCTTATTCAGTTTTAACAACCCTTTAGTTGTGCTAGGCTACCTAGCACTTCTGTTGGATAAGAAATAAATGCTCCAAAAATTTAGGAGCAAAAGGTACATAGCAAGATCAGGAGGTTGTAAATCCTCTGTTACTCTAGCTTAAGAGATCACGTGACTAAAGAGTACTGGATGGGGAACTGGAAGCTTCTAATCTCAGCATCAAGTGTGTGACGATAGGGATGTTGTTTAATCTCCCAGGTCTCCCTTCTTGACCTATAAAATGGGGATTACGATTCTGCTGGCTCTCTGTCACAGAGCTGTGATGGGCAGGTGGCACATTGCATGTGAAAGCTTTGTAAACCATGAAGAAACATACCCATGTCCTTGTGTCATAACTAGAAGCTGCTGATTAGGATGAGTGAAAGAATTCCTGCTCCTTGTTGCGTCTGCCCTCTCGGGCCTTTAGGGCCATCCCAGGTGCCTTCATTCAAGTTACTAAAACATTCCGGGGAATGTCAGCCTTTGATTCCCAACGGTGTTTTCCACCTCATTCCAGATCCTCCTCCCCAGCGCCTGACTCACTTTCCCTCCAACTCTGGTTCTGCTCAACTAACAACTCAACTCTGCAGCCCCGCTTTGCTCTCTCTGGACTGGTACTTGGTGCTGTTACTCCTGATGTAGGTGGGTTTGCAACTTATCACCTTGTTTTCTTCGTGTTTGTTTTGCCTGTATTATTCCCCCCTCTACTCTTTCTTCCTGTTTTTTGAATTAAGTACTTATTATTAAAAGGATCTGTTTAGTAATTATGCACTTTTCCTTTTCTTTTAGTGGTTATGCTAGAGATTACAAAATAGACCCCTGACTTATTAAAGTCCAATATGTATTAGTACTTTTATCATTTCTTGGATTTAGCAGAAAACTGAGAACACATTATCTCTTCACCTACCTCCCCAACTTATTGCTGTTGTTGTCACATATTTTAGTTCTCTCTATATTTTAAACCCCAAAGAAATGGTAATTGTCTTATGAGTCAATATTCACTTAGATCTACCCCTTCTGTTGCTCTTCACGTCTTCCTGTATGTCCTGTGTTATAACTAGGGTTGTTTTCCTTCTGCCTAAAGAATATCCTTTAGTATTTCCTTGAAGGCAGGCATGCTAGTGATGAATTATCTTGCTTTTTGTTTGTCTGAAAATATCTTAATTTTTCCTTAATTTAAAAGTGATGTATTTCTTTTGCTGGGTATAGAGTTCTTTGCTGGTAATTATTTTCTTTCAGCACTTGGGAAATATTGTTCCATTGTCTCTGGCTTCTCATATTTCTGTTGAGAAATTATATGAGAGTCTTATTTTTGCTCCTTGGAAGATATATTTTCTTTTCTGGCTCTTTAAAAAATTTCTTTCTCTTTGATTTTCAGTGATTTTCAGTAATTACACAGTGCTATAATTGAATAAAGCTATCTGTGTATTTATTCTGTTTGGGGTTTGGAGTGCTGTTTGAATTTGTGGCTTGATATCATTTGTTAGTTTTTGTCATTCTTGGCTATTATCTCTTCATATATTATTTCTCTATCCTTGCTTTCTTTTCCTTCCAGAATTCTAATCACAGGTGGTATTTTCAACATTTTCACTTTTTCCCACGTCCCTTACCCTCTTTTTTGTATTTTCCATCCACTTGTCTCATCAAATGTTTTCTTTGGACATGCCTTCCAGTTTACTAAATATCTTCTTTGATGTATCTAATCTTCTGTTAAATCCATCTGTTGAGTTCTTCATTTCCGTTATCATATTTTTCAGCTCCAGGACTCCTATTTTGTCCTTTGTTTGAATAGTTTACAGTTTGCCAAAATTCTCAATCTTGTTTTGAATTCTTTGAAAACATTAATCATAGTTATTTTGAAGTCTGTGCCTGATAATCCTATTAATTGAGTTCTCCGTGGGTCTTTTAATATTCTCTCCTTTTGCTTGTTTTTTGGACCCATCTTCTTGACTGTTTACTTTTCATTGAGTGCTGCACTTACTACATGAAAACTAGTAGCAGTAACTTGGGGTGTTAATATCATCTTCCTCTAGAGAAGATTCCTTTTTGCTTCTATCAGATGACTAGCCTGCAGGTACTAGCACTCCCGTCACTTTAATTAAATCATGGTGAGAAGATTTAAAACTGAACTTAATTTCTGGTACTTCCTTACTTGTAGTGGGTAGTCCTTCAGGGTCCCGACTCAAGCCTGTGGTATTGCCAAGTCTCCTCTCCTTGGTGGTTTCTGAACTCCAAATTTTGTCCCTCCATCTAGAATCTCTGTAGCTTATCTGCCTCTCAGCTGTAACTTTCAGGCAATTTCTCTAGGAGAAAATCTCCCCAAATCCTCATCTCACCCCTCTGGACTTCCTATTCCTGGATCTTGCTCCCCAGCCCTCAGATTTCTCACTGATTTGGTAGATTTCTGATTACTACAAATAGATGTTTCTAATATTTTGTTCAGCTTTTCCAGCTGTTCTCAATGGAAAGGTTGTTTCAAAGCAACATAGTTCTACCAGAAGCAGAACTCCTATTTTTTTTTTTTAAATTGAAGCCTAGTTGATTTACACTGTTGTGTTAGTTTCAGGGATATAGTGAAGTGATTCAGTTATACATACATATATTCTTTTTTCACATTATTTTCCATGGTAGGTTATTACAACATACTGAATATAGTTTTTTTTGCTATACAGTAGGACCTTGTTGTTTAACTATTTTATACATAGTAGTTTGTATCTGCTAATCCCAAACTCCTAATTTATCCCTATAACTCCCTTTCCCCTTTGGTAACTATAGTTTGTTTTCTGTTCTGTGAGTGTGTTTCTATTTTGTAAATAAGTTGTTTATATCATTTTTTTAAGATTCCACATATAAGTGATATCACATGATACTCATCTTTCTATGTTGGACTTACCTCACTTGGTATGATAATCTCTAGGTCCATCCATGTTGCTGCAAATGGGATTACTTCATTCTTTTTAATACACGAGTAATATGCCATTATGCCACACGCACACGCACACACACACACACATATACACATACACACACACACACACAAATCTTTTGTGGGTCATCGGGTCTCTGTTGCAAGGATACAACTCTGCCATCGCAGTGTGAAAGCACCACAGACAATATGCAAATAAATGAGCATGGCTGTGTTTCAATAAACCTTTATTTATAAACACTGAAATTTGAATTTCATATAATTTTTGTGTTTAACAAAATACCATTCTTCTTTTGAAGTTTTTCAACCACTGTAAAATATAAAATCTATTTTTAGCCCATGGGCAATACAAAAGTCCCTGGTGCCCTAGGTTTGACCTATGGGCCTTAGTCTGCCAATCCCTGATTTAGTAGGTTGTATTGGGAAAAGCTCTGTTTTTCCCTCTTCTCTACTCTTGGCACCACACAGAACACTTCTGACACCAGATGTGTGGGTTTATTCCCACACCGAGCAGTTCTTTTGCACAATCTGGGTGTCCTATAATCAGTCCATTTCTGACACTACCTACTTGGAGTCAACATCAGATCCCACAAGTTAGGGGCTCAGTCCTACAAGACTACCCTCACTTCAGATGCCAGTTGCAAGTCTGACCGACTGGCTATAAATTGAGGTTCCCACAACCCCCTCCTCAAATTTGACAATTTGCTGAGACAGCTCACAGAACTCAGGGGAACACTTCCTTACATCTACCAGTTTATTATAGAATAAAGAATTTGATAAAGGATACAGGTGAATAACCAGATGAAGGAGACACATAGGGGTGAGGTCTTGAAGGGTCCTGAGCACAGGACCTTCTGTCCCCATGGAGCTGGGGGTGCCACCCTTCCAGCATATAGATGTATTCAGCACCTCCACATCCCATACTTCAGGGGTTTTTATGGAGACTTCATCGCATAGATGTGATTGGTTATTTGCTCATGTTCCAGCTTTCCCCCATCTCTGGATAATGGAGGGTAAAGCTGGAAGTTCCAGGTGGCGATGCCCAGTCTCCATTCAGGAATCCACTGAAAGTTACCTCACTGGACCAAAAGACAGTCCCGTCACCCACGATAGCCCAACGGATTTAGGAGCCTGGTGTATGACATCCATATCACTCAGGATATTATAGGAGTTTAAGGCTCTGTGTCAGAAACTGGGGTTAATAAAGACCAACTATTAGCAGGAACTGGAGGTAGAGACCAATATATATGTTTCTATTATTTCACGTGGGTCCATTATAGCATCCCCACTTCTCTGAGCATTTCATTCCTTCCATAGTTTTCCAAAGCACTGTTGGCGTCTCTGTTGACAGCAGTGTCCCGGGGCCCTTGTGAGGGTATTAAACCTTGAGTTGTGGGATGTGTCCCAATAGTAACAAATGATCCCTCACCCAGTTTTAAGTTCTACTCACCCAGCCCTGATCCCTCCCAGACATACTCTCCCAGTTCCGCCGTGCGTGTTAGCCAGGTCCTTTTGTTCCACTCCCTCCTCCCTCAGCAGGCCCAGCACTCCCTCAGTTACTGCAGGCTGAGATTTTCCCTAATTTTGGGCCAATGGCCAGTAGGGGAGGTGGAGGCAGGTCCTGACAGGGCCCACCTGCCATCAAGGGGAAGGGGCCACTTCTGCAACTTCGGATGGTGGCTCAAGGCTCTCAAGTCCATTTACCCAGAGATCCTCCTCTTAGTCACAGAGATCCCTCCTTTCCCACCAAGACCCTGATTTTGACATAGGAGACTTACCCAGGCTTAGAATTCAGCCTTCTTTGAAGTTCTGTCCCTCTTATAATTAGGTCCTCTCTCTGGTCAGCAGTGCTACAGCTGCATTTCTTTAAATGCTGCCAGGGAGTAGCTTTGACTCTCACACTTTGCTTTCAGTTGCTGGTAGATGTGTCACAGCCTCTTCTCAGTACATCAGTGGAATTAAGTAAAAGCTACCCAATCCTTTAGCCCCCAAAAGCACTATCTGCCCCACGCTTCTCAAATGTCGAGATGTCTTACCAGCTCATAATCTACTCCCATCTGTGTCCCGTCCCATTTCACACTGGTGATGGGTTTCACATTCCCATTCAGCTGGTGAGGGATTCCCCTCCACAATCCCACCCTTCGAGTCTGTCTTCTAGGGCCATTCCCAGGGGCAGCTATTTGAGATCAGATCCCAGAAATAGAGCATGACGTGAATTCTGATGAGCGTGACTTATTGGGATGGGCTCTCAGATGGAGGGTAGTGAAGGAAGCGGGGTAGGGCTAAGGGGTGTGGTCTCAGCTGGAGATGTGATTGAAGTAAGACTTGTTTGCAGATTTGCTCAGACCTTGAGGAGGGAGCTGGCCTTTTGAAAACCCACCTCAGTCAGTCATTGATTGCTGGCTGCTTGTCCAGAGAGATCCAAGAGAGATTCTCCAGAGGAAGAGCAGCTGTGAGCCACTCACAGCTTAGACTCCCCGTGTCTGGGGATTGGGAGCACCGGTCAGGTGGGGAGGAGATCTGAGCTGGGCACCAACAGCTTTCCCTGCAGCCCCCAAGAGCCAGTGGACTGCATTATTCAGGAGGATGGCCTTTGGAATCAGACAGAACTAGGTTTTGGATCCTGGCTCTGACACTTGGGTAACTGTGCCACCTAACTTTGCCGAGTCTCAGCTTCTTCATTGGTAAAATGGGAAGAATTATGGTTCTGCCCTATTTGGGTTGTAGAAAAAGTTAAGTCAAATAATTCATGTAAGCCAGCTGGCATTTTTCCTGGCATGTATTTATTAAGGTCTTATCATTATCATAAAATTTACTGACTGTAGCACTTCATGATACCTGGTGCTCAGTAAACAGTTATATTGCATAGATTGATCATGACTGAATGAATGATTATTTCTTGCTAAGCAACTACTGAGAAAACTGCTCCCAGGGGACCTTCTGTGAGGGAAAAGAGAGATGGGTGTGTCCTGCTCCAGGACAATGACTACCAGCTGTTGTCAGGTTCTCCAAGAGGGCCATGTTGGTCCTGCAGACCTCCATAGCTCCCTCTGGTCCTTTAGAACAACGTCAGTGCATTAACCCCAAACTTGTTTTATACACTGATTACAATGACAGGGTCCCCTTCACAGTCATAGAAAATAAACTTATGGTTACCTAAGGGGGAGGTGGGGGAGTAAATTAAGAGTTTGAGATTAACATATACAATATATACTATATACAAAATACATAAACAACAAGGACCTACTGCATAGCACAGGGAACTATATTCAATATCTTGTAATGACCTATAATGGAAAATAAAAAGAATACATGTATGTATACGTATAACTGAATCACTTTGCTGTACACCTGAAACTAACCCGACATTGTAAATCAACTATATTTCAATTAAAAAACAAAAAAGAAAAAAAAACAATTATGAAGTTCCCTACACAGGATGGGATGGAAACAGAACAGCTGAAAGACCCCCTCAGGCACGTTTACGGTTCCCAGAGGGCTGCTGGAAGCCAAAACAGTCCTAAGATTCAAAGGCAAGGGTAGGCAGTCTAAGAATGCAGATGAGAACACACCAATCCAAAAGGTCGCACAGCTCTGAGACAGACTTGAGCATCTATAGGATTAAAATGGAGAGAGTTGCATCAAGGGATGTAGTGCTTCTTTTAATTACAGCACCAGCGTGACCTACAATGACCCTCCTTTTCTTCACACTTACAGTTAAGGTACAGCCACTTCTACTGAGAAGAAATGAATGAAACAGTAGGTGAGCCCAGCTCAGCCTGTGGTGTGGCCCCACCCCGAGTCTGTGACACGTGTTCACGGCGCCCACCCGCGCTGCCCCGGCCACCCTCCAGCTCGCACTCTGCTCGTATTCATGCTCTGCTGCGCTTGACACCAGCCGATGAGGATGGTGCCGGTTCCTATCCCGGGAGCAGTGGGCTGAGCAGAATGAAGTTTGGCTGGTGTTTGTTGTTATTTCCCAAGCCTGGGTGTGGCTCTCTGTGACTCTGCCGTTTGGACGTACGGAGGGGCTGGCTGACCCGCTCTAGAGCATCTGCATGAAGGCTGAGAGGATGTCAGCTTTCCATGGCGTGTCATTAGGCGTTTCTTCTGCCACCCTGCTTGTGCCTGCTGTTCTTTCATTCTCTTGCTTCTGGGCACAGCCCTCACCTGTGACGCTGTCATATGGATGTGATGACTGGTTTCACATCCTTGATTTTCCAGAATAGGTTTCACTGTCTGTCCTACTGTCCCATAAGTGCAAATGTACTTGTCTGACCATGAGTCTGTCCTTTGATTTGGAAAATTCTGTTCATTTAGATTTGGGACTGAGGGGGAGAGAGTGCGAATGAGAGCAAGCAAGCAAGTGAGAGAGAGACTGTGTGTGTGTGTGTGTGTGTGTGTGTGTGTGTGTGTGTATTTCACTCCTAAGACATATATTGAGCATCTGTTATGGGCTCTGAGGTTACAAAGAGGAACATAGCACAGATCTTTCCCTCGGGGTAGCTCACAGTTTGGGGCTTGGAAGAGACAGAAGGGTAAACAAATAAATTCCAGACAGCACAGACTGTTACCACGGAGAACACCCAGGCCCACAGTGGAACACACAGGAAGGCTGTAACTCTCCCGGAAGGGTCTGAGACATCTTCCTGGACGTGTGCTGCAGATAGCTGAGTCTGGAGGAATGAGTAGACAGCTTTTCAGGGAACTACAGGGAATGGACAACGGGGGTAGCATATACAGCATCGGAGAGGCAGGAAACAGTGCCTGGCATTTGAGAAGCTGCAAGATGAGAGGCAGCCTGGCTGAGATGAGCACGGCCTGGAGTCTGACAAACCCAAGTCAGGATTGGTACGTCAACTGCCTGTGACTATCAGCTCATTCCAGAGTAGGAACTTCAATAGGGCTGTTGCTGAGAAGACACAAAGAAACTAGCCCACTTTGTGCTCCTAGCAGATTCTCAATAAATGGTGCCTCTCTGGCATCCAGGCCCTATACCAGAAGTTGGGATGCTGGCTGGAGAAGCACTCAGGAAATGAAGATGGAAAGGTGTGTGACCAAATCACAAAAGGTGTTTTGGGAGGCATCACACACAGTCTCCTTGTGGGGCATATAGTGAAATGATAGCCTTTCTCTCTGGAAGAATGAACCTTACACAATCTTTTTTATACAACTGAAGGTGTTTGAAGTCCATGTTGGCTGTTACAGGAGGTTAAGCACCCTCCTATGGACAGTGGGGGCCATTGACGGATTTTAGGCACAAGTGTGGCATGATCTAACTTCCATTTTTGAAAGATCACACTACTGGTGGCCGTGTGAAGGTTGGACTAGAGGTTAGACGGAATCTAAGACCCGTGAGTCTAGGGGTACAGGTGAGTGATGAGACATGGAAGTAGAGATGGAAAAGAGGGAATCAATTTCAGAGCTGCTTAGGGATAAAACTGGATAGGATTTTATGGCCAATTGGAGTTTGAAATTGATCACCATGTTTCTGGTTGCCTGGTGCCATCAATCAGGACAGAGAATGCAGGGACAGGAGCAATGATAGGAGCAGGCATGGTGGGTTCTCTAGAGACAGATTGAGCCTGAACTTGTGGGTGGTGAGGTGGGGTCTGGAGCTCAGAAGCCTGGGATAGTTTGGATAAGATTTGGGAACCCTCAGAGAACAGAAGGTGGTTGTAGATGGACATATGGATGGGGTGTTGAGTGTGAGAAGGCAGAGGTGGGAACCCGGAGGAACCTCTTTACGTTGGGAGCTGATGTGTAAGCAGGATAAAGAGCAGGCCTGGCTGCATCTTTAGATGTGGCTTCACAGGTGGCAGAGAAGCAGGAGAGCATGCCACCATGGGAGCCAGGAAAGGAGAGCATCTCAGAGAGGAAGCTGTGTCAGAGGCAGCAAGGAAGGAGGACGAGAGAGTTGGGACTGGAAGCTGCCTCCCCAGGCTCAGTGTCCAGTAAGTAGTGAGGGGGTTGGGTGGGGGCTCAGCGTACGAGCAGCCGGGGAGTTTTCAGTGGAGCAGTTAATACCGAAATCTAGCTGTGACGGGGTGGAGAGATTAAGAGTTAAGAAACTGGTGTTGGTAAGAACACAGCTTTGTGTGTGTGTGTGTGTGTGTGTGTGTGTGTGTGAGATAATAGGTCATCACAACTATGGATCATGTTGGGGGGGGTGACTTTTTATTTTTAATGGAGGGACTGGGGATTGAACCCGGGACCTCATACATGCTAAGGGCGCGCTCAACCACTGAGCTATACCCTCCACCTTGAGGAGTAACTTTGAATAACATCCCCACATTTGTTTGTTTGTTTGTTTGTTTCTGGAAGAAATGTCTCAGAATGCATTCTGCAGAAGGCAGCCTCGGGACGTCTGGGCAGGAGGAGTGGCGGCCCAGGGCTCCGTCATCCCCCGGCAGCTGTGTCCGGGTGGAGGCCGTGCCCTCCGGCCTCGGCAGGGAGCAGACGGAAGAGGACTACGCGGAGCCGCACGACTACTTCAACGTCCTGAGTTACAGAAGCCTCGGGAGCCTCAGCTTCCCCGCCGAGACCAGTTAGCTCTGGGAGGCATCTTGTAGGAGACACGGCCCGGTCTTTGCTATCACAGATGGACGACGCGCATCTGCACATCGCAGCTCCGTCTGCGCAAGCACGCGCGCGCGTGTGTGCAGACATGTGTACGTGCGTGTGCCTCTGTGTGTGTGTTCAGTTCAGTGAATGTATGTCGTCCTCTCCTCTGTCTGCATCTCCTCTACCTTTCCCTCCATTCCATTGTGGCAGACCCAGGTGAGGAGCTTGTATCTCGATTATGAATGCAAAGTTAAAAAAACCCAAACAACACTTGACCTGGCTTTGAATCTGGCAGCTGGAGCAGATCCTGCGGCTCTGGGAAATTCATTCCCCCTGCAGCACTGGGCAGGGTTTGGGGCTGCAGGGCCCCTCACCTCCTTCCTCACTGCCGTTTTCATGGGTATTCACACATTCCAGGCATTTTTATGAATAAGGCACACTGCCAGCTTCTGTGGGGGGATCAGAGGATGACTAAACCATCATCTCATCTTGTAGGTCTCAGCCCTGCAAGAACTTACAGTTAAGTGGGGAGACAACATTTATAGGAAAAGATAGTGAGGAGGTAAGGATCCAGGACACAGGCCTTTGGGAAGAGATGTCAGCTCAGGGTGAGGTGGCAGGAGAAGCTGATCTGTGGTGAAGTGGCCTGGGAGGATGCAGGGAACAGAGGCTGGGCTGCTGAGAGCAGGAATTTGGTCTAGAGAACTCAGAGAAATTAAATTGGGAGCTGAGAGTCCCCCATGGAACACCCTGGTACCGGGAGCCAGCAAGACTTCAGATTTTATTCTCTGGGCAGACAATTCAAACCTCCTCTTGCTGGATTTACACCAAGTCCAGAGATGGCCTGATACAGAGGACTCTGGGCCCTTCCAGCCATGTGCACTAGGGGAGCCCACAGAAACGGTGCACGTCCACTGTGGGGCTGGAGCTTGGCCATTGGGCCGCCGTCCACCTCCTCTCTATCAATCTGACACTGAGCCTTTGAAGAAAGAATCTGTCTCCTACCAAAAGGAAAATCTGGATTTTTAAAATAGGGACTCTTCCTAGGAAAAAAAAGGAAGGCGTTTAAGATACGGTGTTTAAGATACAGAATTTAAGAAAGGAGCACCCTCCAACCAGCTGCCCTAAGCCCTTGAGCTCACCCCCCGCACCGCGTTGTGCTGGGGCTGGAGGGGCATCTGAGCTGCTCCTGTCTGTTTACCTGCTGTGCAGGTTTCATCCTCCCACTGCCTCGCTTAGAAGAATGAGGGAGGTTGGGTTTCCAGGAGACTGATTTTCTTTCATGGGCTCAGGAACTGAAGAGGATGCGAAAACACGGTTAGAATAGAGCACTGGCCTGCTCCCTAAGAATTAGGCAGGTGAAATGAGGAGACAATTCAACTCCTCCTCCTCGGATTTTTATTTTGATGTTTTTCACTTCTCTACCAAACAGGTATGTAGTTAGGCGCAGTGAGCTGAAATCCATCCAGAGCACCAAGTCCTTTGGAAGAAAGGTAGATATATGTCAAAATGCTGTTATTTGCCATGGCAGTTTGCAGTATTTTTCTTACAAAATCAGTGCAGATTGATTGGGTGGAGAACACTAGTCACAACTTGGAAATGAACATGTAATGACAGAAACGGAGTGGTGTTGATATGGAGACGACGTATATCCGGCTGAGGCTGGACTGAGAGTTGGGTGTTATTTAACCTGATGATAGTATCAGGGAAAGATTTACAAATGCCGTTTGGATGGTGATAAAAATACAAAAAGCCCCATAGATGTTGTAAATGGATCAGGTTACTAAAATGAGACTGAATTAGACAGAAATAAATTTTAACGTGGAATTCACTGAACGAGACTTCCCTCGGAGAACCATAGAGGAAAGTCCCCCCAAAGCCGGACTCCGGGAGGTTCCCGTCGTCCTGTGTGGCTGTCAGGCACGTGAGAGGTGGGCGGTCCTGTTGAGATGGGCTGTGATGGACGTATAAATACACACCAGATGTTGAAGACTTAATAAGAATGTAAACTGTCCACATTAGTAATTGAAAAATATTGATTGCATGTCAAAATGATAATATTTTATATCTATTGGGATAAATAAAATATATCATTAAGCTCAATGTGACCTGTTTCTTTTTCATTTCTGAATGTGGCCACTGGAAAATCTAAATTGTGTATGTGGCTTCCATTGTATTTTCATTGGACAGTGTGGCTTTAGACTCTGAGCCCCAGCCAAGGTGGTACCTGGGGAGAGTGTCTGTCTCTGACTGGTGGGCTCTGTCTCTTCCTCTCTTTCACTCAAAATAGGGTTTGAGGAGAATTTTCCTTCTTTTTATGTCTTTTGAGAAATCTATTCGGAAGAATCACAGGAGAGATTGAGGTGGGGGTGTGTGTCTACACTTTGTGCAGACAGGAAGTGTTCTTAAGTGCTCTTGGATGCCCTCTTAGACTGCATAATGGGGAGGGGAGAATAAATAAATCAGTAAATGAGCTTTTGAGGAGGAATATATTTACTGACTCCCTACCCCTTATTGCTCCACATTCTAACCCTGGGCATACAGAGTCTGATCTGTAACCCAAAGAATTATACTGAACAAATATGAGAAATGATGAGTCATGGAACTTTGAGGTAGACGATCTCCATGAGTGGACAGGACTTTCCCATGCAGTTTTGTCTCGTGACTTGTTCCCTCTCAGTCCGTGAGCCTCTAGAAGTGAGTCACCACACACTCAAGTTCAGACAGATTCCATCAGTGCTGAGTTGGATGGGCAGGGTTGCCGTGTGTGCTGCGCCTGAATGGCAGTATTTACACGTGCTCACATACCCCACAAGGAGGAGGGGGTCAGCAGCATGGCTACCAACTCTGAGGGTGAGTCCTGTGTTCAGTCTTCTGGTTCTTCCCGGTCCTGCAACATGGTTGTAACTAGGAATCCCCCACATCCATTCCAAAGCCCTCCTGCTAAGAGACATAGGGGAGCCTTATGTGTGTAAGAGCCTGAGCTTTCTGAAAGTCAGAATTATATACTTTGATGTTTGAGAGAATCTTTTTATTTTTTTGCATGAGGCAGAGTATAGGACAGTACTATCCAACAGAACTTTCTGAGATGATGGAAATCTTCTTTATCTGTGCTCTCCAATATGGCAGCCACTAGCCACACATGGCTACTGAGCACTTGAAATGTGGCTAATGTGACTAAGGAACTTAAATTTTATTTAATTTTAATTAACTTAGATATTGATAGCCACATGTGACAGGTGACTAGTCTATTAGACGCCACATTTCTAGTAATTGCCTTGCACG